AGGAACAAATAAGATAAAAAGCACTCTAATTCAATATGATACATTGTTGTATGTTTCAATATTGAATAAGATAAACAAAATATAAACATACATACTCACACACACGCACACACGCACAAGATTAGGAGAGTTACATTATTTTCCCTCTATTTCCATTGCATAAATTCTTCACTGCAAATGTACCAGCTAGAACACATACTATGTTATTACAATTGTCATTCTTGTTGGTTTCAGAACTGATAGCATTGTGCAACAAATGTTGACAACAAGACTTATTGAAAGTTGAAGTTGCATGTGTATATGCAAACAGGTAGTGCATGATTTAATATTGAGAATGATGGAGCAAGTTTTATAAAATTTGGTTTGAATACTTAGTTAGGAAAGCACTGACAATTTCTCTGTCACATGTACATGAACAGGTTGTGAAGCTGTAGCCTTCACCTTGACTGAATGACCTTGACATTAAAACTGTCTTGAACAATTAATGTATGAAATTTAGAAATGAAGTTTCAAGAAATATGGTTGAAAACTTAAGAAATAATTGCTTTCATTGACATTGATACAATCTTGTGTGCAATCCCTCTCATATATCACACAAGATTTAATATCAAATGTTGGAAACGGAAAATCGAGCGAAATTAACAAATATCAAGTTGCATATTATAACTTTTATTTGTATTTTTCCCATTTTATTTAAGCAAGCCTGGTGTGAATCACACGGAGGCGATTTTAGAATTAATTGACAGGATCCGTATCCATTAGTAGTTTTGTAATATGAACTTTTTATGTTGATCTCCTACATAATTGTAAGTTATACTCTGCCTTATATGTCGTTAAATTATCAAGTTTACGTAGCAAGTGCAAGCGAAATCTGAATTGACTGCCATGTTGGAAACTTCGTCCGTCCTCCGATATAGGTCAGACGTCTAAATATGGGTGTCATGACCAAATATGGAAATTGTAGTAAACATGACGGCATCAGTAGTAATACTCTATTTGGCCCTGAAGGCCATATAAGGAAACGGGTAATTGCGATAACATCACGCGTAATCTAACATGGCCGTCGTTTCTGTTTTTTTCAACGATGAACGAATATGCAATATTTTGATAACATTATAATCATATGAAGCGTGAATCATATATATTATTACAGATTAGCACTTTTGATTTTCCTCAGTTAGTTGGAACAGGACTGCTTCATAGCTCTGACCACGCAATATATAAATGTAAACAGGGACGTAAATGCAAGAGTCACCAATTTTAGCCAATCAGAGGACAATATTTCCGTGTAAAGAGTTAATCCAGCGACAGTTCAAAGAGTAAATACGAAGTTTTAGAAGGATACTTAGTTCTAACTAAGAATAAGATTATATCCAATAACTTGTGAGTGAACTTGAGTCCGTGGTAATGGATTTTATTTGCAGTTTGTTTAGTATTACTGGTAGGTGACGTTATGTCTCGTTTATGAATATCTGAGCTCATTAACTGAAGTATTTTAACCGGAAGTTGCATGTAGCATGCATGACCTACAGTCAAGTGGCAGTTTCCGATTGAGATAAACAGGGTGCATTTTCAATAAAAATACGACGTTGTGATAAGATCATAATTATGTTCTACCAAGAAAAGGAATGATATTTACAAGCCATTCAAGTGCATTTGAGTCCAAAGTTACGCCTAATAAAGACAGTAGGTCCGGTATATGACTCAATTTAGTACCAGTGGGTACCGCTAGAGGCGTCTTTTTTAATATCTTGAGCTCTTTAACTGAAGTAATACCAATAGCTTGCGGCTAACGCCTTAGCTAAAAAGGAAACTTTGATATACGAGATTATATTTGTTATGTTACCTTTCTATATCATTGAATTTCCCGTTACACTGTGAATTGGGAAATATCATGTGCCGTGTGTTCTGAATACGTAAACTTTTTATGTACGTAACGTCTGCAGCGATAAACGTTTGCTACTTCAACTTAATCCTCTTTTAGAGGTCACAGAGGTCGCACAAATATGACGTGTTTACAAGGGCATAAACTTCCTCGAGATGAGGGACGCTGAACGTGCCAAACGCGAATGTACATGACAAGGCTTAATTACTTAGTCAGGACAGAACAATATATGTATATATGGCTTTATATACCTAAACACAACAGAGATCTTGTGGTAAGCAGCAATCTACCTACACCTAACCCTGCTGCGGCGAAAGGCTCTTTCAATACCTGTAACAAGAAGGTGTGCAAACTGTGTCCATACACGCGCTCCACAGATACATTTCAATGTACAGTCAAAGGCAAAGTGTATCACATACTACAAACGCTGACATGCACATCAGTCAATGTGGTGTACCTTATCACCTGCAATAAATGCAAGTTACAGTACGTGGGCGAGACCTGCACCCAGCTCAATGTCAGGATCAACAACCACCGCTGCTCCATCAAGCAGAACAAACCAGACTTCCCAGTGGCAAGGCATTGTATTATGCCTAGCCATAGTTGGAAAGACATGCAGGTTGTTGCCATAGAGCATTGCCCTACATGGGATGAAACGAGACGACGTACGAGAGAACGATTTTGGATCACCAATCTACAAACCCGCTACCCTCGAGGTATTAACGAACGATAGGCGGTTGCCATCCGCTTGTTTTCCTTCCAGGGGGCATTTGACCTAATCTATCTCGCCTGCCTGTTGCTTCATGTCAGTGTGTGTGACCAACAGCCGTTGTCAGATTTATACAATATCTTAGCCATTTCATCTATTTACTCCTCCTGCACTCACTTATTTGATAATTACATGCACATGCATTATTTCTGCAAACAAAAAGAGGCGACTAAGTGGGACCCCCTGCTGTAACTTAGATCCATCGCAGTATTGAGAGGCGACTAATGAGACATTCCGTAGCAGATTGGAGATTTTTCACATTTACCGGGCCAGATTTCCAAATGCACATGTTCCACGTTTTTAATATCTCTGGTTGACTCACTTTATATGACAGTGCATCTTGCGCAAGAATAGGTCCTCTACATCAGCGTTCCTTGTCCGCGATGCTCTCAGCTTAATTGCTGCCTTCGGCTGTCTTTAGCCGAGGGGACTATTGGTTTCATATAATATCTATATTTTCAATTATAGTATATCAATTCTATCTTCTTGTAATATGATGTATATGTACATGTAACTGTTCTGTTTCACTGTGTCTTGAAAAAGGAGCGGATGGCTCCGAAAATTTGACAACCTAAACTTGTCCACACTGTTGGAATTACTTCTTTGCCACATATATATGGCTTTATATGTCTCTGGTCAGGAGTAGGAGTCAATCGGGAACCATCGGCACTTTCCGTAAACGATTTAAATATTTTCGCGTTTACGGAAAGTGCCGACGGTTTCCGATTGGAGAAGGAGTGCAACGAATCTGGTAAACTTGAGTAGTTACATATTGCTAATTTAATCCGTACGAAACATAGCTAAAAGAAAGTTGGATGTACTTTTATTGGCATAAACAAATAATTATATTTACCAGGATTTTTGGAAACAAATATTTACTAAAACAACGTTATTCCCCTGTAGAACGGCACCGGCATTACTCATATGTTTGTTTGGTTTTAATCTCATTTAATTCTAAGGCAAATTTATATGATAATGCTTCAAGCCTATGGTGGGAAACTTTGGATTGAATACATTGCATGCTTTCTTTATTTGCTGATATAAAAAAAAAACACGTTGATATTTCAAAATATTCAATGATTAGCATTAAAAAAAATAACAAAATATTATCGTTTCAACATAAATATTCTCACAACTTCAATTAAAAAAATCCTTGAAACGTTTGGTTTCAACACGCTACGGAAATGCAAATGACAGTTTTTAATCTGATAATCTATTTCGAGCGTTAATTACGCATTCATCATTAACTAGAATTAATTTCAGGCACAACATAAGATATATTAACCACACAACAAACTTGCACCCTTCCTGCATCATATAAAATAATATTTGCTAACACTTTAAAAAGAACGAAAACAAAACTTAGCCCCTGGGGCGTTTGTTTTTGTTTATTATTTTGTGTCAAATTAATAGAATAGAATAAGGTACCCATTAGAACAACGAAAATAAATTGTGTTCAAGTAAATTAAACTAGTGTAAAATTAAATCAAAACCAAAGGCTACGTGTCAACAGATGCATAATCATGGGGATGAATAAATCTTCCTAAAAGGTCTGGCTAACGGAGCAGGGATTAGCTTTCAGAATTCTAATTTTTGTATTTTTTGTCGTTGTGACGTAGTTTCACAACGATCAATCGAAGAACATGTTTACATTTACATGTTTGGATACTGGATAAACGACAATCACACATTTCGTTATTTACGTATTGATTGTTTAATATTGCAATTTTTGTTTCTATTCAAAACAATTACTTCGTCATATTTGTGATTTTGGTGCTTGCATAAGGGTCTTTACCATTGCTTTATTGAAACACTGTAAAATGTGACGTAATCATTGTTTTGATGGGTCGTACACTGATAATATCATTGTGTTGATGGGTCGTACACTGACAATATCATTGTGTTGATGGGTCGTACACTGACAATATCATTGTGTTGATGGGTCGTACACTGACAATATCACTGTGTTGATGGGTGTACACTGACAATATCATTGTGTTGATGGGGTCGTACACTGACAATATCATTGTGTTCATGGGTCGTACACTGACAATATCACTGTGTTGATGGGTCGTACACTGACAATATCATTGTGTTGATGGGTCGTACACTGACAATATCATTGTGTTGATAGGTCGTACACTGACACACAATGAAACAATGCTGTTGTTGTATTAACTATGATTTTGTTACTGTGATACGGTTTATTGCATGAATATGTTAACGTTTTGTTTCGTTTTCCCCAAAAAAATATTTGAAAACATCTTCGATTAACATTGAACAGGTAAGATAATATATTGGTGATTTATGTATGTGTTGGGATATATTAAAAGTGTATTTACCTACCTTTCAGAATTGTAAGTATTGTTCCGATTCCTATGTAGAGAATGAAGAAACGTTTATCCGTCGATAAGAACGAATACCTTTGTGTTAATTAGTTTTACTTGGCGAACACATTGCACTGTGTATAAAACTGCCGCTGCTTTTGTAGGTATATAGAAGCAATCAAAACAGATATCCGTTCTGTTTTCCTCTGAACAACTTCATTTCGTGCAACAAATTATTATCCAATTTCAAGTCAATGAATTAGAACAAACATAACGCCACACGATACGTCAACGTTAAAATCTACATCCATCAAATTAAATGTAAACAGACACAAAGACATGCAATGCACTTTACGTATAATCCTAGCGTTTAATATAGAGAGGCGTGTAAGATTAATATTGGACGTACAGATAGTGGCTAGGGTAACCCTGTCTTATCGCAAGTGTCGGCTGTGACATGCACAGCCCTCGTCACTAAGAACCGGTCACAAAACTTGCGTCAGCGCTCTCCGGATACTGAATCATGTGTGTTCACATATTTACACGATTCGCGGTTGTCTAAAACACGTTTAAAGCAATCCTTTCTATACCCATTGAATTAGTGTGGTTTAAAACCAATCTCGATGCAAGTATGTATACGGTAAAGTTAGTAATTCGTTCACACGTAAGATAACAATGTAAGGACAGTTTGGACACTGTTTCACCGATACTGCTGTTATCAGTCCGCTGATAAACTTCACTAGGGGACATGTACACAGGACACAAGTTCTAACATACTTGGATCAGAGTAGGTCGTCGGTCTACTACAAGCAATACTTTTCAAGAACTGCATGTCTCCCTAAATCCCCGCTATTTATCGGGTAGACTCATATGTCTGTCACCTCTTCACCTCTCTTGAAACATATTCTTGTTCCATAAAATATAGTCCGAGTTGGTTCTTTTGTTCTTTTGTTGCTGAAGTTTTCCGATATATGTAAAGCGAAGAGAGCGATGTTGTTGTAAATTAATATTTATTTTCAGTGAACATGTTGTCAAACACAACACATGAGATAGCCTAATCATTAATTAATCACTCCGAATAAATATAGGTTAACCTTGAAAACGCGTATGAATACGTGTAACGCAACAGTGACTGTATGACTGTGCTAGACCGAGTGAGGATAGTTTTTTTTGGGGCAAGACCTAGATTTTGTTATTATCACATATAAAATTGAGATATGTTCTGCGTCACGGATTTAGATTTCAATGATGCAAGCAATTGATAATGAAATAAAAGTGATACAGATGCTTTCATTAGCTGTGGGTATGTGTTATAAAAGTAATGACGGGGATCGCTCCATACTATTATTCATATTTTAAAAACTCGTTTGATAATAGGGAGTTAAACGTAACAGCCTGAGCTTGGCGAGGTTATGGGTCTCGTTGGAGTGGTGTCAGACAGACGCTGCGCTGTCTCTCACTGGGACCGGTGTCATGTGAGATTTGTATCCCCCATGGGATAAGTACCCGGATACCAAAACTGGCCATAGGATAAGTATCCGGTTACAATATTTGGCCATAGGATAAGTATCCGGATACAATAAATGGCCATAGGAAAAGTATCCCCCCCATAGGAATTGTATCCCCCCTCAATTTTATTATGATATCAATGAGAAAATTGGAGAAAAAAGTTAATTTGATCATTTACCTCAGAAACTTAAATTTTTGTAAACATGCAATGAATCAATATCTTATTTAATAATTGATTGATCTTATTCTATACAATACAAAATGATGGATTTATAAAACTGTTGAAATTATTTGAACTGTTGATTAAACCTGGCAAGGTCACTGAAGCAGTAATTATTGACACTTCAATAATAGAAAGAGACGAAGGTCTGTCCTCTGATTACCTGGGGCAGGGGAAAACTGTTAGCTGGGTGGAGAATCTGCCCTGGTAATGGCAGGGTGTTGTTTTAATCATTAGCACCTATTACCTGTACACACAGGTAGATGTAGGGATGGGGGAAA